TGTGTGTGTGTGTGTATGTATGTATGTATGTATGTATGTATATGTATGTAAAAGATAGTTTAGGGGTTGTAGTGTTGACACATGTCATACGTGACAAGGCAGTAAACGCCAACGCGTACAGACCTCAAACATTAAACGCCAACGTGTAGGCCAATGTGTGCAGACACTAAGCATTGATGTTCGTCTTTCGCAATTCTCGCTTCAATAGTAACATGTACAGACGCCCAGCCGTCATATATCTCCAACGAACATCAAAACACCAAAATGAACATCAACCGGAACAATGCCAAAATGAACATTTAAAATCATTACAAAAAATGAATCTCTTCAACCACCAACATCAAATTAAAAAACCCCAAAATAGAATAATATCACTCTTCACATTTCACAAAACAAAAAGATACAATGTAGCCTTTCAAAATCCTACAAAACCAAAACATACACAACCCTTTAACACATGCCCAAGCGTAGCACGGAAGAAAATTAAATCATAAACCAAACTCTCCATTTTCAACCATCGCATCAATAACATTATGACAACGAGCCCTAATAACAAGCCCGTGCGTAGCACGGGGTAGAAAACTAGTAAATGGTGTAAATTAAAGCATTAGCCGCAGTTATAAGTAGAGGTGGAACTACATTATATATGGGGTATGGGTATAGTGCTCAAATCTCATCTTATTCCAAACAATAAGAATAAGTAATAAATAAAAAGTAACAACTTGAAGAGAACAATATGGGATATACAATATGGGTTGCTTATTTAAGTTATTTTCAATAACCTAATATATGCATTCTACTTATTGAGACTTGTTAGCGTTTCACATCGAAAATTGAAAAGAAAAATAATCGATATATATAAGCTCTTGAATTGAACTAAGTAATTGATTAAATTTAATCTTTTAAAATGATTTAATCTAAGTGTCTTATGACTAAATTTTGACATGGTATGGAAGCCCGTTTACCCGCCTCATTTATTAAGGTGATCATCTAAAAGTTCATTCCTAGCGGTCCATTAGTCTTTAGCTTAGTTGTCTCTATGAAAAACAACATGTGGCCCATATATAACCCGATTATTCATCTGAAAGTCCATACACATTTAGTCGTGATCCTTTAGGGGTTCTCACTTTTGATCTTTTCATTTCATGGGGATGGAAAGTCCAGATGCAAGTGGCCAACCAGTTATATTCAAAATGGTACAATTGTCTACTTGAGGTTGATTGCTAAAGTATCCCACATCGGAAATCGAAGAGAAAAGTAATCGATATATATAACTTCTTCAGTTGAAATAAGTAATTTATTGGATCAATTTTTTAGAGTTAAATTCCATAATCACTCTTTTATAATATAGGGATTTCCATATTTAGTCCTGAACTATTTGATATTACGCTCATCGTCCTTCTTTTTGGGTATTATACCTTTCTATAAATAGTCTTTTTGACCTTTTGTCATGTTGGTGTTAATTTGAAAAAAAATAATGTAATTTGACATCAACCATATGTCCAGTAACGTATTCTAATGTTGATTAGACAAACAACATAATAATAATGACTATGATTATGGACTAGAATATCGAAAAAAGACCACGTCAATAGACTATGATTATAGTAGAAAAAGATTGTGATCCACAAACGACACATTAGGAACGGCCTCTCGAATTGTGTATGATAATAAAGATATATGATCATTGTCAAATTACATAAAACAGATAATAAAAATGGACTATTTGTTGAAAAGTATCCAGAAAAGAAGAACCACGGGCGTAATATTTGATAATAGAAGACTAAATATGGAAAACTTCATATTATAAAGGACAAATTATATAAATTACTTATCTTTTTATATACTTCAACACAAATATCTTATGACTCAATTCAGTAACCTTTTCTCCATCATAAATTCTATCAAGATTCACTTAATCTAGTGAGTCAATTAGAGTATGATCAATTGATTAATTTTAATTAAGTCTTCCAATAATGTTGGTCCAATGTCCCAACTCTTCAAACCGACACTACTCAAAGTTCTTTTTTTTTTTACTTAAAGAAGTGTGAAACGTTGTTTTCTTTTTCAATTGTTGGAGTCAAATGTTACAAAGACTCATTCTACTCCATTGTTATTAATACATAGAATAATAAGCATGTCAACCTTGTTCCTTCAAAAGCTAGGTTTAATTTGGAGGACTCAAAGTTGAATATTGGAGAAAAGATGTTAATGCAAAGGTCTATTATTATTATTATTATTATTATTATTTGAGGGATTATATTAGTAGTGCTTAATTAGTATTCAAAATGAAATGTGCTTTGTAGTCTCAATCAACTTAAAGTGTGGTTTTGATTAAGTATAAACTTGAATTGAATTGAATTGAATTGAGGAAGCAATAACTCTTTTAGAGATTCCAAACGTTCATATAATCCTACTTTTCCTTCAAAGTGCACCTACCCTGCATGCCCCTTGTCTGCCATTAAAATAGCATCCCATTCATATCCATTTTCCCAACATCTATATATCTAAAGAGTCTAAACATTTTGGTCATTTGTATCTATATTTTTGTCTGTATAGATATACGGAGTATGTTATAAATATGTAATATTTCAAGATTATATTTCAAAATAATTCTATTGATTTTAATACGTAATATATTGGTCTTCTTTTTTTTTTTTGCAAATTGTACGCTCTCAAAATCTAAAGATGTTGATCAAGAATGTCAAGTAAAAATAAAGTTTTCACACGGAGAGAATAGTTAAAATTAATATTCTACATCCGCTCATCAGACTACAGTTAGAATTAAGGCTAAAAAATTTTAATCTTATTAACTTTTGATGAGAAAATATGTTGGAGCATTCCCACCGTTGGGACGTTTCCACATTGAAAAAATTGATTAAAAATGTCCACCATATAACTAAGAGGAGTTACTCCACTTATTTTCTCTTTGATCAAAACAGGAAAGTACTTTAGGACCCGAGGGAGTATATATTATCCATATACTATGTCAAAGCTACATATACTTGAATTTATTTATTTCATGATATGATTGGTAATAAAGGAAACGTTTACTTTATAGTTTATATTGGTTAACCATGCAAAATTAATGACCTTAAATACAAAAGAATTCGTTCAATTTTTGAATTGTTTGCTCATAGACCATAGTCAAATTCAAATAGTGTAATAAATATTACTCCTATCCCACAAAAAAAGTCTCTCATTTCCTTTTTTGTTTGTCTCAAAAGTAAAAAAAAAATTATTTTCTACTTTTTTTAAAGAAATTAGTGGTCTTTTATAATTTTTTCTATTCTACATAAATTTCAACCACATCATTTTACTTTTTTAATGTATGTGCGAAGTTAAAGATAACACTTTTTTTGGGACGTATGGAGTATCAAGAACTATACTCCTTCCGTTCCTGAAAACCTTTCTTTTATTTTTCATCTGTTCCAAAAAAACATTTCATATTTTTACTAAAAAGTCACTTTTATCCTTACTATGTCTTAACCTACATATTACTCCCTCCGTTCTCAAAAAGAGTTCCTACTTTGAAAAAGTGGAAAAATAAGGAAGTGTTAAATTGTAGTTGACTTCCAATTTTGCCCTTGATGTGATGGGTAAAAGTAAGATGTGATGGGTAGATTATTAGAGAAAAAATATGACGTGATAGCTATGTAGGGTATGAAAAAGTAAGGGTAAAAGTGGTTTTTTAATAGAAAGTGGAAGTGTTTTGTTGGAAGTGAAAAAAATGAAAGAGAAAGTGTTTTTAAGAACGGAGGGAGTACATCACATCTGTTTACTATTGATCTACATATCAAATTTTACTTTTACTCATCATATCTAATGACATTTTTGGAAACTTAACACCAAAAAACCCTTAAATCTTTTAAATATAAAAATCTTTTATGTTTTCAAGGACAAAAGGTGTATTAGTTAAAAATTGGATTGCATGGTTTATACAAAAAATGGAAATCATGGTTTATTTGTTCATCAAAAATTGCACTCTGTCCTCTCTATCTAGGATATATGTCATTATATTTAGATTTTAAGTCGTTTTGTTCTCCGATGATTATCGTCTAACTGAAGTCCCTCGGAGTCAGGGCACATTCTTTTTTTATTTGATGTTATTCACATTGATGTTCTATCTTTCTGCCTGAATTTGAATCCAATAATTTTAAATTTGCTAAAGTTTGGGTACAATATTTTAATTAACATGCTACAGTATTTTTTTGAACATAAGGAATAATTGAGAAAATGAGGTAAAGACTAGAGAAAAAGACATCTAGAAATTATTTTTTCTATATGGGAGAATTTGTTGTACTCCGTATAAGAGTAAAAACTATGAAAACACTAAAATAAGATGTAATTTCAAAACTTTTAAAATCAAAATAAGAGTTTACACGGTTAATCTTACACTTTCACACTGTCACGCTTACCATATTATCACACTCCAACTGTCACGCCTTCACAATTGTAACACTCGCTAGACTACCGCCGTCAATCCCCATCGTTGACCGGTGGTCCAACAACGATTGACTGATCACAATATCACATTACACAGTCATCACTTTTACATTATACCAACTTTTTTTTACTTCAGACACTGATATTATATCCATATTTTAGCAACTTTTTTCTGTTTTGCTATGCTTGACTATTTGAAATAGTCACACTATTTGAAATAGTCAGAGTCAACGAAACTTATTTTGTGAAGTCGAATAGAAAATTAACCTTATTTGGAGGAAAATGATTTTTATTTTTTGGACGGAAGGCAATTTTCACTCTTCTCCTAGCTACTTCTCAGATCGAAAGTCCTCATGTTTTATTGTTTTTTTAGCAAAAAAAAAAACTTTTCATAAATTTTTTTAGAATTGTTTTCTATTTTTTCAAACAAACATTTGCATTTTGTTTGGTTTTCAACGATTCCTATTTCCAATTTCCAAATAAAAATGAGTTCTTCACTATCTCAACCAAACAATTTACGGTTTTTTTTCGTTTACGGTTTCAATTCAACGTTAAACATCCAAACTTTAATCCTAAAGATTCTCTTTCACATGTAAAATAAAACCTTTTTTTTTACTGCTTTTTCCTCCCATAGCCACCCGACAACGGCCTCTCCTTAGCAAATGTCCACCGGTTCTCCGCCCCCGGAAGAATCAACCTCCGCCGCCAGCGGCGGCGAAGACAAGCCAGAGGGCGGCCATCGCTCCGGCGGCGGCCCCCGGCGTCCCCACATTTCGTGGTCCGATTCCTACACCAAGGCCCACGCCGCCATCCAAGCCCTCGCGTCCATCGTCTCCGACGTCCCGGCCTCCCTCTCGTCGTCGGAGACCCCGGCGTTCTCCCTCCTCCACGACCCCGACATCGCCGCCCAAATCTCCGAGCTCCTCCGGCGGCCGGACTCCAGCGCCGGAGACAACCACCTCTGCCGGTGGCTCTACGACACGTTCCACTCCTCCGGCGAGCCGGACCTCCGCCTCGTCGTCCTCCGCTTCCTCCCCGTCATCGCCGGGGTCTACCTCTCCCGCGCCGCCGCCCTCCACAAGCCCCTCGCCGGCTTCGAGGCCATCCTCCTGGCCCTATACGACCACGAAACCGGGGCCCGCAACGGCCACGCGGTGACCGTCACGATCCCGGACCTCTCCCACTCCAGCATCTACCACGAGACCAAACAGGCCCCGAAGAGCTGCGCCACGGAGCTGGCCCTGGCGGTCATTTCGCCGAGCCTAGAGCCCTGCCGCAGCGTCCGGTCCACGAAGCGGGCCAGGATCGTGGGGACCGCCTTGGAGTTATTCTACGGCAAAATCTCACAAATGCCCCTCCGGGCCAAGATGGACTTTTGCGAGTTCTGTCAGTCCTTGGGAGGGGACGAGAGGAGGGTAAATATGTCAAGGGAAATATTGCAGCCGGCGTTGAGGATATTAGGGCACTGTCTGATGGGGAATGGGAAGGAGGGGGAGTTGGAGACGGCGGCGCGTGAGGCGTGTAGGCGCCTATACAGCAGAGCCATGCGTGACGTCAGCCCTAAGGATATTCTTGCCACCGGCAGCCTCCTTAAGCTTGCGTCATCTTCGGCCGGTAAAAATGAGGAAGGGATGGTGGATTACACTGAGATCACATTTACCAATAAGATCACTCTTTAGAAATTTTGATGTGAAAAGGTGAAATTCATTCATTCCCGTAACAAAATTCTTAGCAATACACAGAATTCAAATTATTTTCAAAATGGCATGATAGTCATCACTCCACTACGGCCTTAGCGCCTTACACATCATCAGTGATAGAACGTGCCTCCTAGTAGAGTGATGGCTCACGCTATTTTGAATTCATTTCTCTCCTTTTTTTACTTCTAATAATCATTCAAAATTTAACACACTACCATAAGACACTTAATTATTTTTAATCGGTTCCCTTATTTTTCATTGGTTCCCTTATTACACACCATAAGACATTTATTTTAAATTTATCACTCCATATCATATTCATTTACAGCCATCAAACTTTCGTCAAGCCTCTCATAACGCATGGTCTTACCTCATGTGTATTAAATTTTTGACGTCTTAGCTTACGTACAAAACTCATATTAATCAATTGGTTTTTACCTTAACCTATTAAGGGGTACGTGATCTCGTCAAATATAAATCGTTCTGGTTTGATTTTGATGTGATTTGATTCCAGTTAAAGGTATATCTATATGATCTGATGTGAACTGCTGTGACCCAATCTTATCTAATTTTTTAATTTGGTCTGGTCTCATTATAATGAATAAATAATACAAAGTACTTTATAAATTATAAGCAATAAGAATATGTTGTGAAGAGATCAAGCCCATACACTAAGGAGTATATTTTTCTTTCCCTGTTTAAAACCTTGCTTCCTATGTTTCTTAGCCCAAAAATTTTCCAATTTCATCCAAAATAAAAGTAAACTAACACAACTCTTATCTCCAAAGTAGAAGTGATATGTTTTTATCTTCAAAATATATCTATGCCACTGTGATAAAGTTTTGTTATTTATTGGCATTATATATCTTATATTGAGAATAAAAATATGATGCCGTATTTTGATTCTTTACCTATGTTTTATTCTTATTATTTACTATATGTAGTTTTTTTGTAGGTGTATTTACTATGTAGAACGTTCTAAAATAAAATTGTTTTTAAACTATCATTTTTGTAAGAAAAATCTTGACTACCTAGTTCACTTTATTATTTCTCTAAACCATCTTTTTCCTATAACTTTTAGCGACATAATTTTATTTTTTAACTTCGTAAAACATAAAGTGAGATTTTCATTTTGAGGCTTAAAAAATACCATAATTATTTTAAAAAAAATTTAACTGCTCAATTTTTGTAGAGTTCTTTATGCTGTTTTTAAAAGTATAATTTTTATTTTTTTAAACATAATCATTTTTTCTTATAAATTAAATTAAAAATAAATTCAATCAAATACTCCCTCCGTCCTATAATGATCTTCCCGGTTCAATTCAATTTATTTGATTGTAGGTGAAAAATTAAAAAATAAAATTTATATATTTAAAATCTACATCAAAAGTTCTACAAAACAAGTGGTGACAAGACTATATTATTTTATCAAATACCTAATGAAAATAGGTAAAGAAAGTGAGTAAAATTTAACCATGTAAAAAGTGTGTGGGAAGAACATTATAGGATGGAGGGAGTATTATAATGTGAAATTTGCACTAATTAGGACTAAAACATAATGACTTTCCTAATCTAGGACTTAAACTTTTTTATTCTCTAAATAGGACTTAATAATGTCTTCGTGGAAGGAATAATGCCCAACAATGATAGACATTACTTGAATAATGACTAAAGAATAATGACCAAAGGTCTTACATTCAAAAATAAAAACATATGGTCCTATTTTGGGAAAGTCATTATGTTTTAGTCTTATTTAGGTAAATTACTCTATTATAATTCGGTGATGAGAACCTGTTTTTGGACTAGAGGGATATATATAAATCAAAAGTAGTCCATATACTCCGGGCAATGAATTAGTTGGGCTGATTTTAGATCCAAATAAAACCACGATAGAATCACAACTTTAAAACCGGCCACAACCATCTAATAACGCAAACCTCTTTTTTTATATTTAAACCAACCCATATAAAGTAATTGGGCTGACCCATGACCCATGTATAAACTCGACAAAAGTTATTGTGGAATGAGAAATTACCTCCCTCCTTGAATATTTCTTAAGTTTTAAATTTTTTACAATTAAAACTAACAAATTTTGGCATTAATTACATAAAATTAATATTTGATATTGATATAAAAAATAATTTTATTGGTATTTAATTTATAAACTATTTTTAAAATATTATTTTGTCTCATTATATCATATAATCAAAGCATAATATGATTGACCGTAAAAAATCAAGATAAAATTCATAAGAATACTCCCAGAAATTATACTCCTCCGTCCCTAAGGGTATGTTTGGTTCGAATGGAGGGGAGGGGAAGGAATGGATAGGAGGGAATGGGATGGGAAGGGTCGGATTCCCTTCACCTTGCTTGGTTGACCTTTTTTTCAAATTGTGGTACACTTTCAATGTGAATTCTGGAATTAGTAATAATGTAAATTTAGTAAAATTGGGTTTCTTTTAAAATGTAGTTTTGAAATATCAAATTTTTACAATATTTAATTACTTTAAACTATATTTAATTTATAGTCAAAGAGTGCCACAGTTTGACCAAAAAAGTCAAATGTGACAACCTTTTAGGGATGTAGGGAGTAGATTAAACAAATTACTAAATTCATTTGATTACATCGTTACTCCCACATTTGACTAGTAGTAAATAATTTAGTCAAATCAAAACAAGAAACAAAAAACGAGCTTAAAAAAATAAATAAAACCTAATTATTTTTTCTGGGCATATAAATATGCAGTTTATAAGTTCCGTTATAAACATAGAGAAATACTCTTTATATAATTAGTTGACTTACAAATCAAAAATTATTTATAAGCCGTTATAAAGAACTTATAAATATAAAAAAAACATTCACAAAGACGGATACTTCCTATGAAACATCATATGAGTGCACAAAACCCTATTTTGATAATGCAACATGCACCAATTTTAAAGCTGTCCCACCAACAAATAGGGTGTCGAAATAAAACCACACCACAAGAGAAAAAAAACACAAGACAAAATATGAAAACTGTCACTTTACTTGTGGGATGCATCAGGCCTGTTTGGGAATAGCGTTAGAGATTAGCGTTAACGTTTTGGATAAGATTTTAACGGTGCAGATTATTTTGAAAACGCTAACGCTAAACGCTAATCGTAGATAGTCTTTTCAAAACGCTAACGCTAATCTCTAACGTTATTCCCAAACAGGCCCATCATTTAAGTTTCAAATTAAGTCTTGTATGTATTTTTAATTAAAATACCAAAAAAGATTATTATTAACTACTAGTCTACTACTTCTTTCATTTAAAATTAATATTCTCGTTCATTATTTATAAAATTAAGTTTTATTTTTATTTTCAATAATTTTTTTTAAACTTGGTAAATAAAGTGATGATAAGACAACAAAATCGCATGGATGCTAAAATTGGGAACATGAAGAGATTTTGGTTACCTACTTTACTGTTGCCTGCTAGCTAATGCTACCCAAGTATAACATTTGCCATAAGACCGAAATTGTGTGGATTTTACAAAATTTTCAAAATATCTTAAAAAGTAATTCATCCGTCCCAAAATATGTTTTCAGCATTTCAACAAGAACTAAATTTACTTTAAAATAATTAAATATTATAAAAATTAATATTTAAAAACTATATTTAAAAATAAACTTAATCTTATTAAATTTACATTATAATTAAATATAATTTTTTCATAATTTACGATTAAATGGTGCCAATGTTTGACTACAGTTTAATCAAACAACATATGGTGGTATATGTGTTATTTTTTCTTTCTTTTTTTCATTTCTCTGTATTTATTTAGGGTTTATTTTATTCACTTGTTTTGTTTAATCTTTTATAATAAAGATTAAAAAAGGGAAAAAGAGTTAACAAACAGAAATAATTCAAATAAAACAAACAAAAAACTACTCCGTAAGATGTATGGTTTGATTTTTTGTCAAATTAAATTGATTAAATATAAAATAACACAATTATTATCAGAAAACATAAAAAATAAAGCAAAAAATAACGAGACAAATAAATAAAGGGAAAAAAGAAAAACAAAAAAGAAAACAAAACAAGAAAAAAGGAAGAAATGAGAAAAGGAAGAAAAGGTAGAAAAAGGAATAAATAATAAATAAAGATTTCAGAAAGGAACTAAAGAAAAAATAGCTAGGAGAAACAAACAGAGAAAATTAATCAGTGAGAAAAATTTTAGAAAAGGAAAAAATAAAAAAGAGAACAGAATGAAGAAAATTAAAAGAAAAAGGAAAGAAATTATAAAAAGTGAAAATGAAAAAAAAAATAAATAAAGAGTTAAAAATGATCAAAATAAAAAAAGAAAGGAGGGAAAAAATAGCAAATAAGAAAAAAGAAAAGAAAGGAAAAAACAAAAAATAAAAGAAAAGAGGGGAAAAGAAAAGAAAAAAGAAAGAGGAGTGTGTTGAAAAACAAAAGAATATAAATTATGAAAGTGTAAGAAAAAGAAAAAGGATAAATGGAGGAAAATATGGGGAAAAAATTCAGATTTTACAATTTGGTCAAAGTACCCTGCTGGTCACCTAGTAATGGGCAAATGGACTATTAGTGAAAGGATGATAAAAGTTCATGTAATTTTTTAAAAAGTTTCAAAATTTAGGTATCGAAACGAAATTTTCGTAAAAATTTATGTACTATTCTTGGAATTTATCCATCTTTTAAAATACTTTGAAGTAAAGTCGCATGAATTGTGTTGAACATTTACCCTTTCTCTCCCACCCTAAAGTTAATATTTTTTCTGCATGATTATTTTACTATTTCTTTGTACCACAGAATACGTCATCCTTTCCTTTTTTTGTCCTTTTAAAAAATTATTTAGTCTAAAAGATACTCTCTCCGTCCCTAAATATTTGTCACACTTGTATTTCCGAGGCAAAATATCAGTTGTTTCAATTCATTTTATCTACATATTGGTATAGAAATAAAAAATAAAATTTACATATCAAAAAACTACATGAAAAGTTCTTCGAATTAAGGGGTGTCAAGAATATTTTATTTTGTCAAATAACCAATGAAAACGTAGAAATAAACAAAAGTTCCCGCAACTGCTGAAAAAGCAAACATTACAAATAATTTGGGACGGAGGGAGTATGTAACTCAAAACTCTTCCTACTCACTTAAACAAATTCTAATGATAAAACATTCACTGTTAACACTTTATTTTTCAAGTTTTGTAAAAAAAAAATCGAATCTTTTAATGCATTAACTTTTAGTTTTTAACTTGCATCATATTAATTTTAAGCCTCTAAGACCATGTTTTCTTCACCTGATCTGATTAATTCTAATCTGATTAGGATAAGTTCTGATCTGATCTGGTCTGATTTGATCTAAATTTATAGTTATATTTAAATCTATTTCTGATATGATTTGATCTGATTTGATTTTAATAAAAATAAGCAATAAATAAAAAAAATAAGTTGAAGAGATAATGACATAAGACTACACCCTATAATCTTATAGGTGGTAATTTTTGTCTTTTTAATCCCTTAGATGTCTAGGCTCCTAAACCATGCAGGAAATGAAATGCCCATAATTGATTCGACTAATGAGCTAATCCAAATTAATTGGACTATAGGTTCATTGGTTGGAAACCTTCAATCTTGCCTCTACAGTGACTCGAACTCAGGACCCCCCTAAAATATAATCTTAAACGTAGGAAGTGGTGATCAAATGAGTCACTCTAACTTATCACTTCTTTTTTTGGAGTATAAATTTAGTCTAAAAGTGTAATTTCATAATAATCATATGTTTTTCTTGTTATATACTCTGATCCCCACAATACAACACATCGCTCTCGATGTGTCGTTTGTGAATTGCAATTATAGTCTACAGATGTGATGTTCCGTTGGAATTTTAGTCCACATCTATAGGCATTATTATTGTGTTGTCCATTTAACTGACATCAAAATATGTTACTGGACATAAGATTAAGGTCAAATTACACTTTTAGTCATTAGATTAACAGTTTAACACCATAATGACATTAGGTAAAAAAAGACCATTCGTAGAAACGTAACCATAAAAGAATGATCATGAGAGTAATATTTAATAATAGAGGACTAACTATAGAAATCTCCTCTTATAAAAGACCAATTATAGAATTTAAATTTTTTTGTACATAACAAATGGAGCATTTTTTCTCTCACTTTCTTAAAATTATTATTATCGTTTGACTTTCATGGCCTCTTTGACAATAAATTAAATATAATTTTAAATAAATAAATATTACAAAAAATTGACATATCCAAACCACAACTTAAAATGAACCAAATTATTAGATTTTTATCATAACTAAATACTCCATTTATCTCAAAATAATTATCGTATAAAATATCTTTTCTTTTAATATCATTTTTCCTCCATTATAAATCGGTATAAAAATACAAAATATAAATTACATATTTCAAAATTATATCAAAATTTTGTAAAACAAGATGTGTCATAAACATTTCACATTATAAAATTATCAATGAAAACGTGTAAACAAATAAAAGTTATCGATATTTCAGAATAATAACAATGACAATAAATTTGAGACGAAAAGACTACGTAACATGAGTTATATTTTTTAATTGAAATACTAATGTATAAAAATAAACATTTTAAATAGAATAAAATTTTGTACGTCGTTCAAAACAAGAGCATTTTTTTTGAAGATAGAGAGAATATTAGTATTTTTTTATTGGCCAAAAAGAAAAATGATGAGAGGATAATTTTGGAATGGATGTAGTGAAGAGGAGGAAACATTTGGGGAGTTTTTATTAATTTCGATTTCCGTGTCAAGCAAGAATCCATCATCCATTCAAATCTCTGCTCGCAGCTTGCTTAACCGACGGGCAATAACGCCACACCCCTCCATCTCTTTCCTTTTTTCTTCATATATTATCAAATCACACATATAAATTTATGTATTTTCTATTTTCGGTTTCCGATTTGGGGTGCGGATTATATTTTTTCTGGGATTTTCTGGCCCTGTTTCCCTTCCAATCTTCTCAAATCCGACTTGTTAGGATTTGAATAGATGGAGCAGCAATCATCGGCGCAAGAAGGAGGGCCGCTCGTGGCGGCGGCGGCGGTTCCGAAACCGGCGGTGGAGTCGCCGACATCGCTCGCTCCGGGGTTTAGGTTCCACCCCACGGATGAGGAGCTCGTCCGGTACTACCTCCGCCGTCGGGTCTGCGGGAAACCGTTTCGGTTTCCGGCGGTTTCTGAAATCGACGTCTACAAATCTGAGCCATGGGAACTTGCAGGTTTCAAATCTTTTTTCCGATATTCTCAGTTTATCGAGTCCATCAAGAGGACCATTTCATAAACTTCGCAAATTCTTTACACTACCTACCTGTTCGATCAATTGCCCCAACCGTTTGTCTCTGCCTAAACACCAAACATTTCTTTCTTTTTCTCCACCAAGTGAAAAAACCTTTCATAAGATTATTTTATTGACTAAAAAAAATTAAAATCAAATGAACATGGTGGGATTTGAGGAATATAAAATGTTCTTTTGTTAAAAATGCTTTCATAAAAATAAAATACTCAGGGTATGAGTTAGAGTATGAAAACTTTAACCAGAAAAGTTAAATTTAGACACCTCAACGAGGAAATATAGCTTTAGTACAAGAAACAAACAAAAAACATCCATTTTTATAGACAAACTGCCTGTGTTTATAAATTTTAGTTTCATGTGAAAAACTGAATTTGGATGCTCTCTTCTTTGGAATCTATGCAATTTCATGATTATTTACCCCTATTTTTTCCATATTCTGCCCTCTTCATACTTTTTTGAAATGTGATATAAGGTCGGCTTTTTAATGACAAAAAGTTTGAAATTATAACTATTTCGTCACTATTTGTTGTTTGAAGTAAGCAGATTTGCAGCTGTAAAGCGTTGAAATAAATTATAAGAATGATGTCATTATGGTTGAAATGCTGTAAAGTTTCAACCTTTATAAAAATTAGCACTGTTTGTATCATTATATGCGTCAATGATTCAATTTTTAATAGTACTATTTCTTCAAAGAATTTGTTTAAAGTTTTATGAAAATGTCACTGGCTCCCTCTTTTGTTAAACACACTTTGCATTCATCTATTGTCGCTTGAAAAACCACGATAATTTATCCTTTGCCAGAGTTTATTGGAAACAGTCTATATACTTCCAAGTAATGGTAAAGTTTGTTCCCTGCTTCCAAGTTGTGGCATGGTCTCCCTGTACTCTCGCCCGTCTTAAACCTTACCTCGCGTGGGATTCTACCGGATTTGTTGTTGCTGTTGGAAGTGAATGTCAGTTCCTAGTTTGATGGGAATCAGTTTACCTTAATTGTCGTAGGATTCCAAGTCTTGAAAATTTTCATATTTTACGTACCATAACCTCCTCACTTTCTTGCCTTAGGTTCTCAGATGTTGTTAGACACGCGGTTAGACTTTATTGCCTTAGTTTTTTAATTTTTAACCTGGTTTAACGATGTTAATGTATCTTTTCATATATAATGTGCAGAATATTCATATCTGAATACTAGAGATCTTGAGTGGTACTTTTTCAGTCCCGTGGACAGAAAGTACGGAAATGGGTCTCGTCTTAATAGAGCAACCGATAAAGGCTATTGGAAAGCGACAGGAAAAGACCGCCCTGTCCGTCACAAGTCTCAGACTGTTGGCATGAAGAAAACACTCGTTTTCCATTGCGGACGAGCTCCTGATGGAAAGAGAACAAATTGGGTGATGCACGAGTATAGACTCTCAGATGCAGATTTGGCGCATGCTGGGGTTGCTCAGGTAAAAAAATGAGTCGTTTTTATAGAGTAAAATATATTTCTGGGAAAATGACAGTATGACACTTATATCTCTTGGTTATGGGGAGATATCATATCTAGTTAGTCATTTAGTGTCACCACTTTTAGCCTTTGAAAAAAAAATATCACATGTAAAATTACAAATGATTAAATTCACTGCTTTAAGGGTTACTTGTGGGCTAAAAGTGGTGACCAACCGAGTGACTAAATCTTTTATTTTCCCTTTAAATGAAGGACCAAAAGAAATATTTTTTGCATATCTTTCTTGGATTCAGCCTCTACCCTAAGTGGGGTATTTTTGCCAGTTTGTTGTTGTTGTTGTTGTTGTATATTTTTTGCATATGTCATACCACTCTGAGACTTTAGAATCTCAAATTTTACTTGTTTTTGTTGGTGTGTGAGGAAAAAGAATGCATTTGTGCTCTGTAGAATTTTCCAAAAAAGTGCCTTGGGACCTCCGACTGGTGACAGATATGCACCTTTTGTCGAGGAAGATTGGGATGATGATTCTGCTCTTGTGGTTCCTGGAGGAGTAGCCGAGGACGATTTGGCTAATGGTGATGATGCACCAGTTGAAGGCAACCATGTCCAGGTTTGTCACTTCAACGAGTCGGTTTTGCTCTTTGTTTTGTCTGCTTGAAATCTTGATCATGTGTACCCCTTGCCGGTGCATTTTCATCTTAGTCTGTAGCTTGTGGAAGTGTGTTTTCTCTTCTTTGGGTTTCTTCGTTAGTCTTGGTTTGTCTGATTCATGTCTTTGTGCTCTTACTTTTCTCTTTGTTTGTGCGACTGTGTTTACATTGTTTGCGCTTCTATGTTTGAGTCAAAAGTCCCTTGGATACAACCTCTCTACTTTCGAGTAGGGGTAAGATCTCCTTACACACACCCTCCTCATACCCTACTTTTTGTGGAATTGTACTGGGTTTGTTGTTGCTGTTGTTGTACCCCTTGTAACAAGGGGAAGGCTACGCTTGCTTTACTACTACTAAAATATTGGCCATAGTTGCAGGGTGACGAATGTAAGGCTCCTACGAGTCCGGTTGTCGAACCCCCATTGTCACTTCCATTTGCTTGTAAAAGAGAGAGATCCGAAGAGGACCCCGAACCTCTCTCTTTGACCCAAAGCAAAAGGTGCAATATAAACGATGGTCCCACCTCAAGCCACTTAAATGGTTCAGAAGATTCGACCACAACAAGCCATGACCCACTAACCTTGACGATGACGATGATGACGACAAATGATGACTCCCAACCCACTCTCTTGGAATTCCCTTTGTTGGAAAACCGAACCCCCACCACTAATGCCACCTTTGATTCATCCACGCTCGAGAAGTCCGTGCCTCCGGGGTATTTGAAGTTCATTAGCAACTTGGAGAAGGAGGTCTTGAATGTGTCCATGGAGAGGGAGACTTTGAAGATTGAAATGATGAGGGCTCAAGCCATGATTGACATTCTCCAATCGCGCATCGACCTCTTCAACAAGGAGAATGAGGACCTAAGGAGGGTCGCCGGAGGAAGGGGATGATGATGATGATGATCACTCATGCACCCCACCCCTTGTTAGCAAAATGCTAGTTTAACCCCAAAGATGACACAAAGGTTGCCACTATCATAGAATTGTGATAGTGGCGGTGTTGATTTTGATGTCACCCGTGGTGTGGTTATAGCACGATCTTTGTTCTTATTTTGTAGGTTTTTTCTATCACTTTTCGCATCTCATGTGATTGCCACCTCTCCTAATCGACTAGTCTCGATGAAGAGGAGTGGGACATCAATGAAACGTGAAAAGTGTGATAAAATTGAAATTTCTGATTACAACTTTTTTTCTCTATAATAATGTCGATCATCTGAGATGACGTTCTATACCGTCTTCAGAAAAAGTGGAAGACGTGTAAAGGGATGCTGGATATGTTCCTATTTCTGTTAGACAAACTTTTAAATACTATCTTTTGTGTAATGTAAATGAGGAAATCAGTAGAGCTGTGAATATATGTTGTACCACAGCTTGTTGGTTAGGTTAAAATACTCCCTCATTTTTTTAGTTTTTCCCTTGAAAGCATTGGGTGGAAATGGTCAACTACAACTATGTTCTCTTCACTTGATTAAATTGAAATAACTTTTAACTTAATTTGATTGGAGTTATATTTAAATTATTCTTGATTTGATTAATAAGAATAAATACTTCGTTATAAAAAATAAAAATAAGTTGACTGAACTTGTGATAATATTTCCTCCATCTAGATTCCAAAAAAAAGAGAATATAATTTTGAAGCAACTTTTTTTTAATGGGAGTATACAGTTTAAGAATTATATATTGGATTTCACCCTTCAAAAATATGATACTCCGTACTTCCTAAAATTTTGAAAGTTTTATTTGTTGACTGCATGTTTGAATCATTGTTAATTTGTTACTCCGTATTGACTTTTGTAATAAAAATAACTACTCCGTGCTTATAATAGCATTAATATAAAAGAATAAAGTGAATAAAATTTGGATTGAAAAATTGGAGAGGTGCGGGTGTTTGTTAGGGCCAGATCGGCGGGTGATTTACAGGGGTTAGGGGTAGGACCTGTCGACTTTTGGATCAAAGCCAAATGATTATTTGCATACCAAACAAGTAAAAACATCATAAAATATGCAGATAAAATTTTATGAATAAGATTTCAATTATCGTTCAATGTAATTTTACCAATCAAGAAAGTTTATCAAAGACATTGTTGATATTGAATTTTACCATTACTCCCCCTTGTCCGGGAAAATTGAGTGCCTTCAAAACCCATTTTCTCCCGGAATTAGGTCATTAATCTAATGTGATTTTCAAAATGAAGTGTTCCAAGCAAGCTAAATATGTTAAACTTTAGTTTAAAAAAATAGGTGAATGTAAAAATATATGGAGTATTTTGAATTCATAATTTCCAAGTGCTCATTTTTCATTTTGTGTTGAGATAAGAGAAACAAGAGAGAGTCTATCGTACAACCGGGCGTAAAGATACACCCGGCAAATTTTTCATTGCATCTCTACTCTTTGCCTTTACTTCTTTGGTGTGATGTGATCATGTGAATAAAACACCGGGATGTAAATATACATCCGGCCATCCAAGTGTACGATTGAATTTGACGAGAAAAAAATAATTAATACTCTTTCCGTCTCTTTTGAATCTTTCCAGTTTGACTTTTATGATCAAATTTTTTAAACTTTGTCTACAAATTATGAAAAAATAAACCAAATTACGATATAAATTTAATGGTGTTGCTAAATCTAGTTTTAATTTTTCCTAAATCCATCACGTTTATGATAAATTGACAATTTTAACCTTAGAATGCAGCAGAGAGTGTTTTGATGCAAACCAATTTTTAAGCGTAAAATTGAGAATTTAAAATAAATTGAATAAATTTAGCCAAAATGAGAGTGAGTATAGCAACATCTTAAATTTAATATCAATAAGTTCATTTTGAAATATTATATTCTTCTAATATATCTATCTATAAATAAAAAAAAATATTAGTCAAAATATTGCATTGAAAATTGTGAAAAATTAAATGTAAAAATTCTCTCATAGCATCACGATTGGAGAAGCCAAATGCTATAATATTAAAGGTTTGCATGTTCTTATACTAAAATTTGATCTTATGCTAAGTAATAGACTAATAGGTCTTTCTAAGTATTAAGTGCAGACTTTTTTTTGCTACCAGTATGTGATCAAAGTCAAATTTATTTCCTCTCGGCAATCGTTTAGTCAAATCTAAAGCCCCTCCGGGATGGGTTCATCCCTTATAAAAATAAAATTGATCTTGAATGGGTATGATATTGTTAGCTAATAAGCTAAATTAGCCTTTGCACCATGTATTTATACATGTCCATTTTGCACATGCTATAAATAAAAAATATAAAAAAAATTGTAGACCATTTAGAATAGTAGACCATTTGCATAATACTCCCTCCGTTCCTAAATATTTGTCACACTTGTATTCTCGAAGTAAAATATCAAGTTTTTTCAATTTATTTTATTTATATATTGGTATAGAAATAAAAAATATAATTTACATATCAAAAAACTAAATGAAAAGTTTTTCGAAATAAGGGGTGTCAAGAATTTTTTTATTTTATCAAATAACTAATGAAAACGTAGAAATAAACAAAAGTTCTCGCGAATGTTAAAAAAACAAATGTTGTAAATATTTAGGGAAGAGGTCTAAAAAAGTACTACTCCGTAGGTACTAGGTAGCTTCTTGTATAGTTGTACCAAACAAGCCAATAATAATAGTCCAATACCAATGTTAAGTAGTATACGAAGAAGTCTCCTACCTTTTTTTTTCTTCCCAGGTCTACACGGCACAGCCACCGCAAACATGCTCTCCGTCGTCTCCAGAAACCCATAGTTCTCTCTCTCTCTCTCTCTCTCTGAAATTCAAACCCTAAAACCCTATTCAAGCTGATCGAACACCGGAGAACTGTGTGATCGATTCATGGAATCAAGAGGATCGTCGCAGCTACTGGCGCCGGGGTTCCGGTTTCACCCCACCGACGAAGAGCTCGTCGTCTACTATCTTCAGCGCAAGATCCGCTCTCTCCCCCTCCGCTTCGATTGCATCTCCGAGATCGATATTTACAAGGTCGAGCCCTGGGATCTCCCAGGTACACACCCTTTTCGAACTCTCTTTATCTCTCTGCCTCTTTACACCCGCACGCGATTATGAGTCCTGGTGAACTTTTAGTTTCAATTTCCATGATTTGAGCTATATTTCCCTCTTTTTTTGCGAGGGATTGATGAGTAATTGGTTGGAACAATGGTGAGCTTAGGTGTATGACTTTTCAATTTGAGGTTTTTATCATGTGAGAAATTAATTAATGTGGTAGGATTTTATTCATTAATGTTCTTTTTAAAGTCTACAGTGTAGTGTATAAAGGGTATATTTAACAATGTACAGTTTTTACACAATCTTCATTGGAGATGTTCTAAGTAGATTATCAACCCTTTTATGTTTTGGCATGCAAATATAAACACCATTTGGCTATAGTGTTTGTTGTCAAATTGTACTAATTTTGGAAGAATATTGATGTAATTGTGATGTCATCAGGCAAGTCAAGACTGAAGACCAGAGATCTTGAGTGGTACTTTTTCAGCATGCTTGATAAGAAGTATGGGAATGGTGCAAGGACTAACCGGGCAACTGAAAAAGGGTATTGGAAGACTACCGGAAAGGACAGAGCTGTTCATCATAGGTCTCACGTGGTGGGGATGAAGAAAACACTGGTCTATCACATTGGCCGTGCTCCAAAGGGGCAGAGGACTAATTGGGTGATGCATGAGTACAGACGTGTAGATGAGAAATCAAGTAAATCCGGACTTGTTCAGGTTTGCATCACAAGTTAATGCATATATATCTTATTTGAATGTGCTGCTTGTTTTTAGTTAAAGCTTCTCTTCTATCTTTTGAATGCACATCCCAATCAAGAGCAGAGAACAAACCTTGATCACTTTGGACAACATGTTAATTTTCCTGAGCAAAAACAATATGAGAAAGCCCCTTACATATATGATCATTTTCTAATTTCAATTCTTGATACTTCTCGGTGTGGTTTTCCCCAAACCTTTCTCATTTTATTATATTTTTTTGTATGGGGAAGGATGCATTTGTGTTATGCAGAGTATTTCAAAAAAGTGGGGCTGGGCCAAAGAATGGGGAACAGTATGGAGCACCTTTCATTGCGGAAGAATGGGAATTGGATGAGTCAGGAGCGGCCCCTAAGGCAGAGTTAGCTGAGGATTTTGGACTTCTGGATGGTATATGTTTGGATGGGGATGAACTTGAGCAGGTCTGAGCTCTCTTCTATAACCACATTTTATATTTACCCTCGGCTTAGCATAGTTCTTTTTGTTCTTATGCTTGCTGCAAGCATGGTTGTTGTCTAATGCAAGTTAATTCTCAAGTTAGACACTTAAATTTATGTTCGTAGAATATGCAGTTGAAAGTCGAAACTATTGGTCTCCCATTACAAATATTGTGCTTAACTCTGGGAGTTGTTTTTTCCCAAGGTGATCAAGTCATGATTATATACCAGTATTTCTTTATAATATATTAATATGATATGAAACAAATTAAGAAGTTTCATAGTATGGAGTAAAGGTATTGAACATAGCTCAGGTCTATTTAAGCGACTAACTACAATTACCACTTTTCTGCCTTTTTTAGCCTATATGTTTTTACGGATATGTTATAATAGTGCCCGTTCACGTATCTTAATAGTTCGACTGTATAATAGGAGAGAACTTTGTGGAAAAAGTACAATGCAAAATCACAATGTTAGTCCTTCTCTTCCATAAATCTAGCCTCTCAGTTGTTATAATTGATGATAGTCAATTAGTCCTTCATGTTTAAACCACCATTTAGCATTGTGGTCAGGGGGGATTCTTGGCCACAGATTTTGCTGAGATCCTGTCTTGGATGTGAAAAAACATGTACTCTACTATTTAAAATTGATGGAGAGGACAATGAAGGCCAAAGTTTACCAAAACTGAAAGACGTATGCATTATATCCGATAATCTCAAACACCTAGACTTCTTGGAGAACTTTTAGTAGGATTTTCCATTTAAATTTATTGCGTTCTTGCTTGATATTAATATACTCTGTAATACATTAAATCTGTTGGGGCACATATTGGTCTTTATTTAGCACTCCCTCCGTCCCAAAGAAAGGCTCTTGGTTGGACTTGGCACAAAGTTTAAGGAAAGTGAAAATGTGTGAATGAAAGTGATGCAGAAGAGAGAAAGATTTTGAGCCACTAAAGGTTTTCTAAAATAAGGAAAGAGGCTGCTCTTTTTGGGACACCCCTAAATGGAAATAAGGAGTCTTTTTCTTGGGACGGAGGGAGTAGTATTTCTAATTTTTTAGTAACAAACAAAAACTGGAAAGCTATAAGGGCGAAAGCTAGGGTGCTCAATTTTAATATACATTTAGGAAAAAAAATCTCCGTCTTTCCCAATCTTGTTATTCAGTCTCTATACAGCATCTTTCTCCCCATATATTGTGGTGGATTAGTTATTTTTAAATTTTGCATGTGTTCTTACATCTAACTTTCTAGTAAAAAAATGTATGACTGACATTGTCTCCCTTCGGGCCTCTAACA